GGCCCGGCGCTTGGTCCCAGCCTCGTGCCGGGCGCCCTTCCCGTGCGCCCGGGTTTGAGCCACCCCGCCCTTCACAAAAGGCCCTGTCTGGCGTCCCCACCGCTGCTGCTCTCCCGGGCCCCGCCACAGCACCACGATCGGACTCCACGTCCCCAAGTGCAGGGGCCCTGGCAGCACTGGGCGGCGTGCTGAACGGTGTCCTGAACCCCGGCCGGAGCAGCGCCGCCGCCGCCCCGGACAGCCCGGCCGCGCGGCCCCGGACCCCGCCCGCCCCCGGCTGCGCGTTCCTGGGCAAACGGCCTCTCTGAGCCCTCGTGCGTTCACCTTGCCGGCAGCGCGGGTTCGCAGGCGCCTCTCCTTACAGGACTGCGAGGCCCAGGACGAGTCAGCGCCGGGAGGCCCACGCGGGCTGGTCGGGCAGCTGCCGCTCATAACAGACCCCCAGCAATCGCCCGCAGGAACCACAGACAGCTGCAGCACACGGTGTCGCTTCGTTTTCCCCCCTCCCTGCCTCCCTCCCTCCTTCCTTCCGTTTCTTTCTTTTTTCTTCTTCTTTCTTCTTTTCTTTCTTTCTTCTTTCTTTCGTTCTTTCTTTTCCTCTCTCTCTCTCTTCTCTTCTCCTTCCTTCCTTCTTTCCCTTCCTCTTTCTCTCCTTTCCTTCCTTCCTTTCCTTCTTCTGTCTTCTTTCTGTCTCCCTTCCTTCTTCCCTTCCTTGTCTTCTGTTCTTTCTGTCTTCTTCCTTCTTTCTTCTTCTGTCGCTCTTTCTTTCTTCTTTCTTTCTTCCTCCGTTCCTCCTTCCTTTCTTCTTTTTCTTCTTTCTTTCTCCTTCCTGTCTTCCTTCTGCTTCTTTCTTTCTTTTCCCTTCCTTCCTTTTCTTCTTTCTTCTTTCTTCTCTCCTCTCCTTCCTTCTGTCTTCTTTCTTTCTTTCTCCTTCCTTCCTTCTTTCTTTCTTTCTCCTTCCTTCCTTCTTCTTCTTCTCTTTCTGTTTCCTTCCTTCTCCTTTCTTTCTTTCTCCTTCTTCCTCCTTCCTTGTCTTCTTCTTTCTTCTTTTCCTTCTGCCTTTCTTTCTTCTGTCTTCTTTCTGTCTTCCTTCTTCCTTCCTTCCTTCCTTCCTTTCTTCTTCTTCTTTCTTTTCTCCTTCCTTCTCTTCCTTTCCTTTCTTTCCTTCTTCCTTCTTCGTTTCCTTCTTCTCCTTCCTTCCTTCCTTTCTTTCTCTTCTCCTTCTTCTTTCTTCTCTTTCTTCTTCCTCCCTTCCTTCTCTTCCTTTTCTCCTTCCTTCCTTTCCTTCCTTCTTCCTTCCTTCCTTCCTCCTTCCTTCCTTCTTCCTTCTTCTCTTCTGTCTCTTTCTGTTCCTTCCTTCCTTCTTGCTTTCTTCTCCTTCCTTCCGTCTTCCTTCCCTTCCTTCCTTCTTTCTTCCTTCCTTCCTTCTTTCTTGTCTTCTGTCTTCCTTCTTCCTTCCTTCCTTTCTTTCTTTCTCCTTCTTCTTCCTCCTTCCTTCCTTCTGCTTCTTTCTTCTTTCTCTTCTTCTCCTTTCTTCTCCTTCTTCTCTGTCTTCTTTTGTCTTCCTTCCTTCTTTTTCTGTCTTCTTTCTTTCCTTCCTTCTCCTTCCTTCCTTCCTTCCTTCCTTCCTCTTCCTTCCTTCCTTCCTTTTTCTGTCTTCTTTCTCTTTCTTTCTCTTCCTTCTTCCTTCCTTTTCTTCTTTCTTCTTTCTTTTCTTCTTCCTCCTTCCTTCTGTCTTCTTTCTTTCTTTCTCCTTCCTTCCTTCCTTCTTTCTTCTGTCTCTTTCTGTGTTCCTTCCTTCTTCCTTCCTTCTTTCTCCTTCTTCCTTCCTTCCTTCTTTCTTTCTTCCTTCTTCTGCTTTCTTTGTCTTCCTTTTCCTTCCTCCTTCCTTTCTTTCTTTTTTCTCCTTCCTTCCTTCTTCTTCTTCTTCTGTCTTCTTTCTGTCTTCCTTCTTCCTTCTTTCTTCCTTCCTTCCTTCTTCTTCTGTCTTCTTCTTCCTCCTTCCTTCCTTCTTCTTCTGTCTCTTTCTTTCTTTCTTTTTTCTCCTTCCTTCCTTCCTTCTTTCTTCTGTCTTCTTTCTGTCTTCCTTCCTTCCTTCCTTCCTTCCTTCTTCCTTCTTCCTTCTCTTTCCTTTCTCTTTCTTTTTTTTTCTTTTTTTTTTGAGAGAGTTCACTCTGTTGTCCAGGCTAGAGTGAGTGCCGTGGCGTCAGCCCCGTGACAGCAGGGGTCCAGGAGCGGCCAACCAAGGTGACGCTTGGAGCCAGGCCTGGGAAGGAGCCGCGTGGAGGCTGGGTGGGGCGTTCCAGGTGCCAAGGTGTCCTGGGGCAGGGTGGTGCCGGCCGGGTGCAGGGGGGAACTACGAGGCGGGGTTTAGGGAAGAAAGAAAGGCCCTCAGCCTTTGGCAGCCGCCGCTGGGCTGCGGACGCCACCATCGGCCTCTGTTTACGGAGCACCCGTGCCGGGCGCCAGGGCCCTCGGCTGCCGCGGAGACCGGCTCCCTTGGGCGCTCACGGTCTGGGGTGTGGACGCATGGCCCGGAGGTTCTGCGCAGGGCCAGGCCCCAAGTATGGACAGGAGAACGCTCCCTGGGCCCGCCAGTGCCCGGTGGCCCAAGTCCGGCCCCATTCGGGGGACTCTGTGTGGGGCTGGGGCAGCAGTGGGCGTGGCACAGGGGCCGGCCCCCTGCAGGTGCCTGGAGGGCTTCCTGGAGGTGGTGGTGAGGTTGGCTGGGAGGAGCCCAGTGAGTGGGCGGGTCTGTGGGGGCTGGCGGGTGCCGGCATTGAGTTGCAAGGACCTCAGCACCCCGGTCCCATCCCGAGGGTAGCCGGAGGGCTTCCAGAGGCTTCCAGGGCAAGTGTTTGACCCAAGCGAGAAATCTCAGGCATCTCACCAGAATCCTGCACCCTGTTTCTGGAAACTGCAGATGCCCTCTCCCCGGTCCCACCGGCCTCCCATCCCGTCCTCGGGGCTCCCTGCGCAGCCCCTCCTGCCCGCCTCACACCCCCTCGCCCTCCGCCTCCCCCAGCCCGACTCTGCCACACCGGCCTCCACTCTGGGCCTCGTCCCCAGGCCTGTCCCCACCTCAGGGCCTTTGCACTCGCAGTGCCCGGCTCCACCCACCTCGGCTCCCCCTCACCTCGCCAGGCGCCCCTGCCGCTCTTCCAGGCCTCTCCCGCCCCTGTCCTCGACCATGTCGCTCTGGCCGCACCGTCCCCTGGCAGCCTGGTCACCACCCAGCGCTGTGCGTGCTCAGCCCTGTACCTGGAGGGGCCCTGGCCCCGGGGGACTGTGGGCCCCGAGCATGGGCTTGGCGGTCTTTGGTCACTGCTCTGTGCCCGGCCGAGGGGAGTGTCGGCGCACCGCAGGCCCTGGCATGCCGTGGCAGCCTGCGGGGGAAGGAGGGGATGAATGAAAGATGGCATAAGTGACGGAAATGAATGAATGATGGAGGGAAGGAATGATGACAGAATGAATGAATGATGGAGGGAATGAGTGAATGAAGGAGGGGACGAATGAATGGTTGAAGGGAATGAGTGAAGGAAGCAGGAAATGAAGGAAGGAGGAAGGAGGGAATGAATGCAAGATGGGATAAATGACAGAATGAAGGAAGGAATGAATGATGATGGAATGAACGAATGATGGAAGGAATGAGTGAATGAAGGAGGGGACGAATGAATGGATGAAGGGAATGAGTGAAGGAAGCAGGGAATGAAGGAAGGAAGGAGGAAGGGAATGAAGGATGAAGGAGGGAGGGAATGAATGAAAGACGGGATAAATGACAGAATGAAGGAAGGAAAGATGGAATGAATGAATGAAGGAGGGAATGAATGAATGGATGAAGGGATGAGTGAAGGAAGCAGGGAAGGAAGGAAGGAAGGAATGATGGAATGAATGAAGGAGGGGACGAATGAATGGATGAAGGGGTGAGTGAAGGAAGCAGGGAAGGAAGGAAGGAAGGAGGGAATGAATGAAAGACGGGGTAAATGACAGAATGAAGGAAGGAAGGAAGGAATGAGTGATGGAATGAACGAATGAAGGAGGGGAGGACAGGACGAGTGGACTGAGGAGGAAGGCAGGGTGGGTGGCGGAATGAGTGACCGCGTGCGCGGCGGTGCTGAGGTCACTGGCAGCGGCCGGGGTGCAGAAGTCCGGAGGGGGTGGGAGTGGGGGGGGCAGCGGAGTGCGCAGGTGGGGCCGGCTGGGCCGGTGGGCGGGGCCAGACCTGGCTGGGGAAGGGGCCGGCCAAGTGCAGACCCCGCCCACCGTGCCAGGCAGGACAGGGCAGCACAAGCTGCTGTGACAAGCACACCCATGCCAGTGGCGTAACCCCGCAGGAGGTCGCCTCTGGGAGCCAGAGGTCAGGGTGGCAGGGCGGGTGCCAGGAGGTCCCGGCTCCCCCAGGGCCACCAGGCCGGCTGGGGCTGGGTGGGGGACAGAGTGACTGGTCTGCACCGCCGTGGCCAGGCGGCTTCGGGAATCCCGCCCATGTCCAACTGCTGGGTGACTGGGCCCGAGACCGCCGCCAAGAGTGTTTTGTTTCTTTTTAAGACAGAGTCTCACTCTGTTGCCCGGGCTGGAGTGAGTGCCGTGGTGTCAGCCTAGCTCACAGCAACCTCAAACCCCTGGGCTCAAGCGATCCTCCTGCCTCAGCCTCCCGAGTAGCTGGGACTACAGGCACGCGCCACCACGCCCGGCTGATTATTCTTTCTCTCTCTATATATATATATTAGCTGGCCAATTAATTTCTTTCTATTTATAGTAGAGACGGGGTCTCGCTCTTGCTCAGGCTGGTCTCGAACTCCTGACCCCGAGCGATCCTCCCTCCTCGGCCTCCCAAAGTGCTGGGACGACAGGCGTGAGCCGCCACGCCCGGCCCGAGAGTGTTAGCTGTGAACATCCCCAGAGCTGCCCAGATGGGGAGACCGAGGCCCGGGGGCGCCAGGGTCCCGGAGAGGAGGCCAAAGAGGGCGCCCGTGACTCTGTGTCCCCTGCCCCCCCAGCGGCCTGTCTGTGCTGATCCGCGTGCGCCTGGAGCTGCGGGGCCACCGGCGGGCGGGCCGCACGGTGCCCCGCATCTTCCAGGCGGTGGCCCTGCGGCAGCCCGAGCGCCCGGCCCTGGTGGACGCGGGCAGCGGCGTGTGCTGGACCTTCGCGCGGCTGGACGCCTACTCCAACGCCGTGGCCAACCTCTTCCTGCGGCTGGGCTTCGGCCCCGGCGACGTGGTGGCTGTCTTCCTGGAGGGCCGGCCCGAGTTCGTGGGGCTGTGGCTGGGCCTGGCCAAGGCCGGCGTGGAGGCCGCGCTCATCAACGTCAACCTGCGGTGCGAGCCCCTCGCCTTCTGCCTGGGCACCTCGGGCGCCAAGGGCCTGGTCTTCGGCGGAGAGATGGCGGCGGGTGAGGCCGGGCGCGGGTGAGGCCGGGCACTGGGTGCTGGGCGCAGGGTGAGGCCGGGTGGCGGGTGAGGCCGGGTGCTGGGCGGGCGGTGGGTGAGGCTAGGTGGCAGGTGAGGCCGAGTGCTGGGCAGGCGGTGGGTGAGGCTAGGTGGCAGGTGAGGCCGGGTGCTGGGCGGGCGGTGGGTGAGGCCAGGCGGCGGGTGAGGCAGGGCGCAGAGGTGAGGCCGGGCACGGGTGAGGCAGGGCGCAGAGGTGAGGCCGGGTGTGGGTGAGGCAGGGCGCAGAGGTGAGGCCGGGCGCAGGTGAGGCCGGGCGCAGGTGAGGCCGTGCACGGGCGCTGGGCGGGCGGCAGAGGAGGGAGATGCCGGCCCCACCCAGGCCAGAGCGGGAAGGGGCCTTGCCCGGAGGTGGCCGCGAGGCACGGGGTCCAGGGTGTCCAGGGCAGGGAGACGGTGGGCCCCAGGCCTTGGAGGGGCCCGGCCGGCCATGACCTTGGCCACTGTGTCCGGCCCCAGCGGTGGCGGAGGTGAGCGGCCGGCTGCAGAGGAGCCTCCTTAAGTTCTGCACCGGGGACCCGGGGCCCGAGGGCGCCCTGCCCGACACGCACCTGCTGGACCCGCTGCTGAAGGAGGCCTCCACCGCGCCCCTGGCCCGGCCCCCCGGCAAGGGCATGGACGGTGAGTGCCGGGGGAGGGGGGGCCCACGCCCGCCCTGCCGCCCGCCCCGCCGCCCGGCCGCCCCCAACGCCCCGTCTCCTGCAGATCGGCTCTTCTACATCTACACGTCGGGCACCACGGGGCTGCCCAAGGCCGCCATCGTCGTGCACAGCAGGTGAGGCCGTGGGCGCGGCCCTGAGCCCCCGGGAGTGACCCCCGATGTCTCAGCAGCCTCACCTGCCCCCAGCTTCTGTGGGGGCTCGAGGACACCTCGGACCCCGACCTGGTGAAACTCACAGCCCATCTCAGGTCACCGTTCCCCTGTGCCTGGTGCTCTGGGAGCCTCTCTTCCGCCGTCCCCACAGCCAGCCAGCCCAGCAGCGCGACCTGTTGCCTCATCCGCCTGCTTTTCTCCACGCCACCCCCCCCAGCCCTGCCCCAGCCCCTCCTCGGCCTCCTGCCCCCTGCTTGTCCCCAGTGGCCCAGTTCCCCTCAGCAGCCACGGCAGGGGTTCAAATCCTAAATCAGGCCGGGCGCGGTGGCTCACACCTGTAATCCTAGCACTTCTGGAGGCCAAGGTGGGAGGCTTGCTTGAGGCCAGGAGTTCGAGACCAGCAAGACTTTGTCTCTACAAAATAAAAATATATACATATATGTTATCCAGGCTGGGTGCGGTGGCTCACGCCTGTAATCCTAGCACTCTGGGAGGCCGAGGCAGGAGGATCACTTGAGCCCAGGAGTCTGAGGTTGCTGTGAGCGAGGCTGATGCCACGGCACTCACTCTAGCCTGGGCAACAAAGCAAGACTCTGTCTCAAAAAAAAAAAAAAAAAAAAAAAAAAAAATATATATATATATATATATATATAATCCAGGCATGGTGGCACGTGCCTGTAGTCCCAGCTACTTGGGAGGGTGAGCTGGAAAGATCACTTGAGCCCAGGAGTTTGAGGTTACGGTCAGCTGCAATCACACCACTGCGCTCCAGCCTGGGTGACGGAGCGAGGCACCCTCTCTGAAAATAAAAATTCCCAACTCAGACCTCCCTGCACCTGCCTAGGTCGTCCGAATAAAACCCATTCTCGGATCGTTCCAGCTCTGCCGAGTCCCGGATGCCATCTGCTCCCCTCCGGCCCTTGCTCACTCCTCAGCGCCCCAGACTGCCTCCCACCTGCACACGCTCCTTCCGGCCTCAGGGCCTTTGCACGTGCACGCCCCGTAGCTCCTTCCCGCTCAGTCTGAGACCCGCTTTGCTTCCCCGGACAGGGTCCCCCAGCCTCCCCGCTGTGCCACCATCAGTCCCTCTTTGCGGGGCCGCCCTGTGACATCCCTCTTGGCACCTGGCACCAGCCGACAGAGTTGCCCTTCCCTTATTTGGGGCGAGTTTTCTCTCTGCCAGCCTAGTCTGCACCCTGCGACGCTCAGGCCCACCCCGCGGGCGCCCCTGGGGGTTCAGGCCCAGCCGCTGCCTCCGCTGGCCCGCGGGTATACCGCATCGCGCCTATCGGGCCGCCGAGACGCCTACGCATGCGCGGGCGCGGGTGCTGTACGGACTGCCTTTCTGCCCCTTTACACTCGGGCAGGTGCGCGGGGGCCAGCCCCAGGGGCGGGGCGCTGCGGGCGTGCGCGGGCACCCCTCACCGGAGCCCGCTCTGGCAGGCGATGATGGCGTGGGGCAGTGCCTCTCTACGGCAGACCGGTGGTTCTCGCAAGAAGTTCTCGCCAGCCGCTTCGTGGGACACGGCGTCAAGTACACTGCACGGGTGAGGCCCGCCCCATGACCAGCCAGCCCGTCCCTGTGCGCCGGGCCACGCCGGATCGCGCGGCCACGCCCCTGTCCCAGGCCACGCCCCTGGACTGGCAGGATCACGCGCCATGCCCGGCTGGCACGCCCCTGACGCCAGGCGCCCTGACTGGGCGGCCGGGCCACACCCCTGTCCCAGGCCACGCCCCTGACCGCCAGGCCACGCCCCTGACCGCCGGGCCACGCCCCTGTCCCAGGCCACGCGCCTGTCCACCAGGCCCGCCCCTGTCTGCCAAGCCACGCTCCTGACCGCCGGGTCACGCCCCTGACCTCCAGGCCACGCCCCCGCCTGCCAGGCCACGCCCCCACCTGCCAGGCCACGCCCACCTGCTGTCTGTGGGTCCACTGCTCCCTTCTGTCCCGAGGATGCCCAGAGTGGCTCCCTAGGGTGGGGACAGCGAGGCCGGCCAGTGTTCCTTGAGCACTGGCTCCCCGTCCAGTCCTGGGCTAAACCCTCCAGGTGTAAACGCATCGCGGCCCTCACAACTGAACCGCTTGGGAGTGGGTCGAGGCACCACACCCATTTTGCAGGTAGGGAAACTGAGGCTTGTAATGCTGCTGGAATTGGGCCCAGGGTGCCTGAGCTCTTCAAGCTCCTTAAGGCGCTGCCTTCCCCGTGCCCCGTGGGTCTTCCCTGCTGGCGAGTGCAGGGAGGTGGGACCAGGGGTGGGGTCCACTCCTGGCATGTGGAGGGCTTCCCGGCGGGCAGGGTAAGCACGGGGCGCCGGGCCCAGGGGACTGACCGCCAGGCCCGGAGGAGCAGAGCGGCCGGCCGGCCGGGCAAGGCGAAGGGAGCGCAGGTGTGTGCAGGGCTGTGGCGAGTGGGCAGGCGCCAACTCTCCCCGGGCAGCCGGGGCCCAGAGAGGTTGGGCCGCTCGCCCGGGGCCCACAGCGGTGGGGCAGCGGCGGGGCGCTCTGGGCTGAGGCCCCTGGGGACTCCGCAGGGTCAGGGACAGCTGTGCTGTGCGCCACTGCTGAGGGTTTTACCTTCCTCCCGGGGGTCTTGCAGGGAACATTGTAAAACAATCCTTTAAAAAAAAAAAAGTTGATTATTGAGAGTTGGAAATGTACATAGCTGTGGGCAGAAAAGGATGGGCGTTCTGGCGCACCCCTGAGCCAGTCCCAGGGACCGTCCCATGCCCCATGCTGCCCCTCGACCCGCGGCCACCTCCAACTCCCGGGCTCAAGCGATCCTCCTGCCTCAGCCTCCCGAGTAGCTGGGACTACAGGCATGCGCCTCCATGCCCGGCTAATTTTTTCTGTATATATTTTAGTTGTCCAGTCAATTTCTTTCTATTTTTAGTAGAGACGGGGTCTGGCTCTTGCTCAGGCTGGTCTTGAACTCTGCGCCCAGCCAAGGAGTGTCTTTGGAATGACACTGATTTCTCAGTGTCGTCAGGAATCTGGCAACGGCCAGTCCCGTGTCTCACCATGCCCAAATGTGGTATGTTCTATAATTCTAAAAAGAATCCGTAGACAACCAGCGTTACGAATGGCTGAGGTGTCTTATGTGAATCCGTCCATCGGCCGGCTTCGGCTCACACCTGTAATCCCAGGACTCTGTGGGAGGCCGAGGCAGGAGGATCGCTCGAGCTCACGGAGTTGAGGACCACGCCTGAGCAAGAGCGAGATCCGTCTCTTCTAGAAATAGAAAAATTAGCCAGCCGTGGTGGCACACACCTGCAGTCCCAGCTGGTCAGGAGGCTGAGGTGGGGAGGATGGCTTGAGGCCAGGAGTTTGAGCCTGCAGTGAGCTATTGTGTGCGCCACTGTTACTCAGTTGGTGCCGCTGGGCGATCCGAATAGATCCTGTCTCTAAAAAGAAAAATTGTCCAGACATTGTGATGTGTTTGTGGGAAACGGAATTGCCCCTGGTCAAGAACTAGTGGTCTAGGCGGGGCGCGGTGGCTCACGCGTATAATCCCAGCACTCTGGGAGGCCGAGGCGGGAGGATCACTCAAGGTAAGGGGTTCAAGACCAGCCTGAGCAAGAGCGAGACCCCCATCACTACTAAAAATAGAAAGAAGTTAATTGGCCAACTAAAAATATATAGAAAAATTTAGCCGAGCATGGTGGCGCATGCCTGTAGTCCAGCTACTGTGGGGGCTGAGCAGGCAGGATTGCTTGAGCCCAGGAGTTGGAGGTTGCTGTGAGCGAGGCTGACGCCACGGCACTCACTCTAGCCTGGGCAACAGAGTGAGGAAGGAAGGGAGCTGCCCAGAGCACGCTGTGACCATCTGGTCACCATCTGGAGCTCAGCTCTGCATGTAGGGAGGGCTTTTGCAGTTGAAAGGACTCAAAACCCTAACCCCGAGTCTAAGCTAAACTCTGGCTTCCTGAAGGAAAGGGATTTATTAGCTGATGGAACTGAGGAGGCTGTACAGAGGCAGCTTCAGGCACAGTTCTATCCAGGAGGGCCTCCGTCCATCTCCATGTCTTGTTTTCAGCCTCCCTCCTGGGTTCCTTTTCAAGTGGGCAGCTCCCCTCCGGGGTCCCTCCTCCAGGAGGGTCCCCTGTAGCTGCGGCAGGGGAAAAGGGCTTCCCTCTTCTCCACGGTCCCTCAAAAGTCCCAGGGCTGGTTCTCATTGGCCCAGCTCTGGTCCCATGCCCGTTCTTAAGCCAATCACAGTGGCTGAGGGTGGACTGAGCTGATTGGCCAGGCTGTGTCACGTGGTCTGTCCTGGGAATGGGGTGGGCTGCAGAGCACTCAAGGCAGGCAGAGAGGGGAGGAGAGGGCAGGGGAGAGAGGGAGAGAGCTCTTGTCCGTAGGGTCCCCACGTTGGCCGGTGGCCGGTGGTCTGCAGTGCGTGCTGTCCCCTCCCCGGGCCTCAGTGCTTGGCAGGTGGCGTGTGCCCAGCGGGTGGGTTTGTTTATCGGTTTAGTGAACGCCTGCTGGGGGCTCAGCCCGGTGTGCAGGGAGCGCCACGTCTGAGCCAAGACCCCGGCCAGACACGTGCGTCTGGGGGAAGGGCGCTCCAGGCGGAAGGCGCAGCGCGTGCCACGTCCCCGCGCATGTGCGTGGCGGTTGTGATCCCTCTAGTGGTCAGCCCCGAGCGCGTGACCGCCCCGTGGCCAGGGCGCCTGGGCGCGGACCCAATGCCGCCACTTGCCGGCCGTGCGACCGTGGGCCAGTTAATTACCAGCTGTGAGCCTCAGTTTCTCCACCTGTAAAACGGGGAGGACAATCATTCAGAGCCACCACTGGGAAGAGAGATCTCAAGGGCACACGGGAAGGGGGGGGCATGTGGTAGGTGACCCCCCCCCAAGCCCCAAGGAGGGGGCAGGGAGGGAAGACGCCCTGCAGGTGGCGCCCGCAAGCAGGTGACGCCGTGGCACCTGGGGCGCAGTCCCAGCCTGGTGCAGGCACCTGCCAGGGGTCCACCCAGGGGTGACGGTCTTGGCAGCCTGGGCTCTGCTCGTGGGGCTCCGGGAGCGGCGTGGGCTCCGGACCGGGGTGGCCCTGTGGGGCGCCAGCTCTCCAGCCAGTCGCCCGGCCCTGTGCCCGCGGAGGCTCTGAGCGCCGTGTGTCCGCGGGAGGCCGCAGGGGTACAGGTGTGGAGGGGCGCAGGGGACACCAGCCGCAGCCATTCGGATCCGCGTCCCTGGCCCTTGGAGAGAGCGGAGCGTGCAGCGCCCCCCTAGCTGGGCTGTCAATCATCCCCAGGCCGTCCGGGTGGGCGGTCCTGGGGGGCTCTCCCGCGACCTGGGCTCCCGGTGCCCCCAGGTGGTCCAGTACATCGGGGAGATCTGCCGCTACCTGCTGAAGCAGCCGGCGCGCGAGGCGGAGAGGCGGCACGGCGTGCGCCTGGCGGTGGGCAACGGGCTGCGGCCGGCCATCTGGGAGGAGTTCGCGCGGCGCTTCGGCGTGCGCCAGATCGGCGAGTTCTACGGCGCCACCGAGTGCAACTGCAGCATCGCCAACATGGACGGCAAGGTGCGCGCGCGCGCGTCCCTGCCGCTCCGCCCGGGTCCGAGTCCCCACTGCGCGGAGGGCGCGCAGGGCCCGGCGTAGGGGGCGCTCCTGGGACCCCCCCTCCCCTGTGAACCCCACCCCCAGGCTCCTTGCAGGTGCCTTCCTTCAGCGTGCAGTCAGGCACGTGACCGTCACCCTTGACTGGGGAGGGTTCAAGGCCAGGGCGGCGGCGCAGTGTGTGGGGGACGAGTGCATGTGGTGATGGACAGGGAAAGCCGTGCTTGGGGGGACTCGGGGCTGGGGCTGCACTCTTCTGCTGGGCTAATCCCTCAGGTTCCTTGGGCCTCGGTTTCCCCATCTGTAAACCGGGCTAACAACTCACCGCGCATGTTCCAATCATGCGGCGCCATGAGGTCAGCGTGCAGGGCGGGTACTTCCGTGACGGACAGCGGCTTACCGCAGGGTCACCTTTCTCCTGCCCCTGCGTGACTCTCCCTCTCTCTTCCCGAGCCCCTCCCTCCCTCGGCCAGGGGCAAATCATGGTCATAGGTAAAGCAAGCGCCACGTGGGCTGGGTCCCCTGGGCCAAGAACAGTGCATGGAGGGTCCCCACCGGCTGATCTGTTGGAGAGCCAGCCCGCCAAGGACACCCTGGCGGTGCCAGCTCGAGTGGCCGCATGACAGACACGCTCAGCAGCGTGTGGCGGCACAAACGCCCCGAATGAGCGTTTGTGCCGCCCACAGAACCACGGCAGGCGGCGGGCAGGAGCAATGCGAGCGTCCCATGCCTGCAGGGCCGCCAGGCGTCGCTCCCTGCCAGTGCGGAGGGTTCTGTGTGGGCCAGGATGTGGTGGCCGCTGCAGGTCTCCTCGTGTGACCGCAGGGAAGGCCGGGAAGGCGGGAGACGGGCAGGGGTGGGGGACAGTGCACTTGCTCCTCCCCCCTTTTGCAGGTCACCCAAGGTCACAGCCGAGGGTGACACTAGGGATGCTGACACCAAGCTCTGGGGCTGGGGAGGCAAAGCGCCAGGGAGGAGGGTCCCAGGCCACCGCCAGGCTCCGTGCCACCTCCGTTCTTGCCACCGCAGGTGGGCTCCTGTGGCTTCAACAGCCGCATCCTGCCCCAGGTGTACCCCATCCGGCTGGTGAAGGTCAACGAGGACACGATGGAGCTGCTGCGGGACGCCCAGGGCCTCTGCATCCCCTGCCAGGCCGGTGAGCGGGGGCCCCTGCCCGGTTCCCCGGGGAGCTGGGATCCCCACCCCGCTCCCTCTCGCAGGGCCTGAGTGCGCCTCCTCCCCAGGGGAGCCCGGCCTCCTCGTGGGCCAGATCAACCAGCAGGACCCGCTGCGCCGCTTCGATGGCTACATGAGCGAGAGTGCCACCAACGAAAAGATCGCCCACAGCGTCTTCCGCAAGGGCGACAGCGCCTACCTCTCAGGTGCGCCTCCTTCTTGGGTGCACCTCCTTCTCAGGTGCGCCTACGTCTCGGGTGCGCCTACGTCTCGGGTGCGCCTCCCTCTCGGGTGCATCTCCCTCTTGGTGCACCTCCCTCTCGGTTGCGCCTCCCTCTCAGTTGCGCCTCCCTCTCGGTTGCACCTCCCTCTCAGGCACGCCTCCCTCTCGGTTGCGCCTCCCTCTCAGTTGCGCCTCCCTCTCGGTTGCGCCTCCCTCTCAGGCACGCCTCCCTCTCGGTTGCGCCTCCCTCTCAGCTGTGCCTGCCCGCGGGGTCCCAGGGGCTGACCATGAGGATGGGAGCCACCGTCTACCTCCTCCCTTCCCCTCCGCCAGGTGACGTGCTGGTGATGGACGAACTCGGCTACATGTACTTCCGGGACCGCAGTGGGGACACCTTCCGCTGGCGCGGGGAGAACGTCTCCACCACCGAGGTGGAGAGCGTGCTGAGCCGCCTGCTGGGCCAGACAGACGTGGCCGTGTATGGGGTGGCCGTGCCAGGCGAGCCGGGGCTGCGGGGCTTGGCTGGGGAGCGTGGCAGCCCCAGGGGAGCACAGCCAGAGGTGGGCCGGGAGGAGCCGGGGCTTCTGGGCCAGTGCACAGCCTGGACGGCTGCGCCGTGGCAGCCCGGTTGGGAGGATGGGCTCCGGGGTCGGTTCACGTGAGTGATGTCGAGCCTTGGTTTTGTCATCCGGGAAATGGGATCGTGAAAGCAACCCTGCCTAAGGGCCGCAGGGAGCGAAAAAAAAAAAAAAAAGCAGGGGCTCCGTGAAACGTCTGCTGTTTGGGCGGATGTTGTCTGAGGTCGGGGAGGACCGGAGGTCAGGGCCGGGGGCCGCTGCTGGGGGCGGGTGTTCTCAGCCGACCCTCTGCCTGCAGGAGTGGAGGGGAAAGCAGGCATGGCGGCCATCGCGGACCCCCGCGGCCAGCTGGACCCCAACGCCATGTACCAGGAGCTGCAGAAGGTGCTGCCGCCATATGCCCGGCCCATATTCTTGCGCCTCCTGCCCCAGGTGGACACCACAGGTGCGCCGCCCCGCCCCCCTGCCCCCGCTCTCCCCAGCCGTCCGTTTGTCTGTTGGCTGACGTCTTGGTCCCTTGGTCCCCCCTCACACACCGGGGATCGAATTTCAGCATGAGTTTGGTGGGGACAGGCCAGCCAAGCCGGAGCCGTAGCACACGGCCGGGCGCGTCCGTCCTCGTCCGGGCCCGGCTCTGAGTCCCACGCCACGTCCGTGGCCGGCCGGCCACGCGGGCTCAGCGGGCCTGCCCGTGTTTCACGTACGCGATCGTCCATTTCCATTTCTCACTCCCGCACGGTGTCGCCTCTGTTCGTCTTCTGCGTTTCCTGGTGACTAGGAAAGTGGAGTGAGTCATCTCGCCCCCCCTGGTGTCCTCTGCAAATCACCTGTTGCTGTCACTCACTGTCTTCGTGTGGGCTGTCATGTGCTCTCTGATTGACAGGCGTCCCTCATAATAGTCTGAGTGCCAATTCCTCAGCAATTTCAGACGTCATAAGTCTCTTCTCTTGTTATGGAGCCTCACGGTTAATTTTGTCCATGGCGCCCTTTGTTCAAAAAAGAAACTCTGGGGCCGGGCACAGTGGCTCATACCTGTCATCCCGGCACTCTGGGAGGCCGAGGCAGGAGGATTGCTCGAGGTCAGGCATTCGAGACCAGCCTGAGCAAGAGCGAGACCCCCGTCTCTACTATAAATAGAAAGAAATTAATTGGCCAACTAATATATATGGAAAAAATTAGCCGGGTATGGTGGCACATGCCTGTAGTCCCAGCTACTCGGGAGGCTGAGTCAGGAGGATGGCTTGAGCCCAGGAATCTGAGGTTGCTGTGAACGAGGCTGATGCCATGGCCACTGTAACCTGGGCAACAAAGCGAGACTCCGTCTCAAAAAAAAAAAACAACTGGGTGTGGTGGCGCATGCCTATAACCCCAGCTACTTGGGAGGCTGAGGCAGGAGGATCGCTTGAGGCCAGGAGTTTTGAGACCAGCCAGGGTGATATAGTGGGAGCCTGTATCCAGAAAAACAAACAAACAAACAAATTTATCCTTTTTCTTTACACTTATAGTTGGTGCTTTTTAAAAAGTTCTGTTTTTAAAAATTACCTTCCCAGGCCAGGTGCAGTGGCTCACGCCTGTAATCTCAGCACTCTGGGAGGATTGCTTGAGCTCAGGAGTTTGAGACCAGCCTGAGCAAGAGCGAGACCCCGTCCCTAGTAAAAATAGAAAAATTAGCCGGGCATGGTGCCGCATGCCTGTAGTCCCAGCTACTCGGGAGGCTGAGGCAGGAGGATCGCTTGAGCCCGGGAGTTGGAGGTTGCTGTGAGGTATGATGATGCCACGGCACTCTAGCGTGGGTGACAGAGTGAGACTCTTGTCTCCAAAACAAAACAAAAGAAACAAAAAAATAATAAGAGTTTTTAAAAAATTACCTTCCCAAATTCTAGATCACAAAGGTATCCTCCCTCGCAGGGGTCCTCAAACTTCGGCCCGCCAAGGACATTTATCCGGCCCGCCGGGTGTTTTTGCCGCCGCCGCCTGTCCTGCTTGGCAGCCGACTCGTCCTGGGCCCGCAGTGCGCACGTGTGGATTGTGCACCGCATTGTCCAGGGGCCTTCCGGTGGTCTGAGGGACAGTGAACTGGCCCCCTGTTTAAAAAGTTTGAGGGCCCCTGATCCCTCGTTTTCTTCTGCTAGCCATAACCCTTGGCATATTTTTCATGAAACCATTTCACAATTGTCCAGTGTAGGAGGCGCCAACTTTTCCTTGCGGGACCAGGGAATCAGTACGTCCAGGTTTGCAGGCCGTACCGCCTCTGTTGCAAGCACACAGCCCTGCCACTGTGGCAGGGAAGTAGCCATAGACGGCGCCTAAATGAATGGGCATGGAGGTGTGCCAATAAAACTTTATTTACAAAACCTTGGGGTGGGCCAAATTTGGCCCACGGGGTTTGGGTCGCTGAACTGTAACCCACCACGTGACAGACAAAACCCTGCCTGAGTCGTGTGCGGGAGGGACACGTGGCCAGGCAGGGAGTGCACACAGTTTCTTGCTGCAGCGGGGGTGGTCTGGGAGGCCTCCCTGGAGGAAGGGGCAGGAAGCTGGGATCTGAAGGACCCCGAGGAATCAGGCTAAACAGGGAAGAAAGTTCCCGCGAGGACGGCCTCTGGGGAGGCCCAGAGGCGCGGAACGGGTGGGGGCTGGGGGCTCCTGCAGGCCCCCCGCTCAGCCCCTGCCCCCGCCCCACGCCAGGCACCTTCAAGATCCAGAAGACCAGGCTGCAGCGGGAGGCCTTCGACCCCCGGCAGACGTCCGACCGGCTCTTCTTCCTGGACCTGAAGCAGGGCCTGTACCTGCCGCTGGACGAGGGCGTCTACACCCGCATCTGCTCGGGCGCCCACGCCCTCTGAGCCATATCCCAGCCAGCCGAGGACTCCTTGAGCCGGACGCCCGCCTGGCCCCGGTGGTGGCCGTCCTGGGGCCGAATCTGGAACCTCAGAGGAGCCGCTGCTGTCTCCCCCCTTGGCGCTTCTCCGGTGCCTGCTTGTCTGTCTTGCTCCCTGCCTCGTGTCCCTCTGGCCGCCCCTCCCCTTTCCCCTCTGTCCCGCCAGCAGCGGATCAAACGCTTCTTAGGAGCCGAGTCCTGTCCTGTCCTCGCAGGCCCCCTGCCCCCGAGCGCCCCCTCGGCTGTGCCTTAAGGAGCCCCGGCCCCTGGGAGCTCCAAGCAGGCCCTGCGCCCTCCTGCCCAGCGGAGGGGCCGGGTCGTCTTCCTGGGCTGCCCCCGTGTGCGGGGACATCGGCAGGTCAACTGGAAATGTCTCCAGCCCGGGCCATTGCCCTTGTGGTGTTGTTTGCACTTCCCCGTTCCTGGTGGGTTTCCCCGGCCCCGCCTTCCTCTCCCGCCGCCCCGGAAGCTTCCGGGATTGACTGTGACCCCGTGGACGTGGCCGCCACTGCTGGCCCTGCCTGGGTGCCCCTGCTCGGGCGTCTCCTTGGAACTCCTGCGGGAGGGCCCTGAGTGACGGCGGGGCCGGGTGGCTCTCCGGCAGACTGTCCCCGGCGGAGACGTCCCTCTCTGGCGACCCCACCCCCGGGAGCGGCAGCCGTGGGGCCGGGGGAGGTCTCCTGCCCCGGGGTGGCAGGTGCGATGGCCTTGGGTTCCGGTCCTCGGACGTGCCCACTGGCCGTGCTGCCGAAGGCTCCGGCCCCGTGTTGGCGGTGACGTCCCCGACAGTCCTGCAGGGATGGCCCAGACGCAGCCATCCGCCTTGCGGTGGCTCCTCAAGACACCCAGGCCGCCCAGTCCGACTGTCCCCTCGGCAGCGCCGTCCGTCCTCGGGGACGGGCTGGGAGCGAGCGAGCCGCGTTGGCTCGCCCCGACCTTCCCGAGCACCGAGGTTTCGGTTCCCGGTCGCTTGTGAGAAATAAACCTGCAGGGAGCCCGTCCTCGGTGTCCGTCTCCACATGGCGCAGGCCGGGCCCCACCCCGCCGGGAAGGAGTCAGACGCAAATGGGGCCGGCCCACCTGCCAGACCCCAGACCGAGGGGGCCCTGGGGAAGGGCGTCACTGTCCGCCCCGCCCGCTGCCCCTGCCGCCTCCTGGCCCTGGGACGGCCCACCTGCCCAGATCGCCGGTGACCCTCCACGGACCGGCCGGCTGGAGCCCTGGGCCCGTCGCTAGGCCTGCCCTGGAGGTCATCTCTGAGGCAGGATTTGAACCCAAGACACCCGGCTCTGGAGCCTGTCCCGTAGTTCCCTCTTGTGTCTGCGTGGAACATATGCCGAGCCCCCAGTGGATGTCTGACACCACGGGTGGTGTTAACACTGGTTCCAGACACTGTGTTTTTCTACATCTCTGGTAACCCAGACGGCTACTAAGTGGCTAACAGGCAGGTAGTGTAGACAATGTGGATACCCTGGACAAAGGGATGATTCATGTCCCTGGCAGGACAGGGGTGGATGGGGAGAGAGTTCATCGTGCTACTCAGAGCGGTGCGCAACTTATACTTGTTAGCTGGGCATGGTGGCGCGTGCCTGTAATCCCAGCACTTTGGGAGCCTGAGGCAGGAGGATCGCTTGAGGCCAAGAGTTTGAGACCAGCCTGGGCACCATAGCAAGACCCCATCTTTACAAGAAATAGAAAAATTAGCCAGGTGTGGTGGCACACACCTGTAGTCCCAGCTACTTGGGAGGCTGAGGCAGGAGGATCGCTTGAGCCTAGCAGTTGGAGGTTGCAGTGATCTGTGATGATGCCACTGCAGTCCAACCTGAGTGACAGAGCAAGACCCTGTCTCAAAAAAAAAAAAAAAAAAAAAAAAAAGAAAAATTCCCTCCGAGTTAGCCAGAAAATACTCCTGGTAACTCTTCAGATCAAACTGTTAGTTTTTTAACTTTCTTTGAGAGCTACTTTTGTTTTTTGTTTTTGAGACAGAGTCTCACTGTCGCCCAGGGTAGAGGGCAGTGGCATAATCACAGTTCACAGCAACCTCAAGCTCCCGGGCTCAAGCGATCCTCCTGCCTCAGCCTCCCCAGTAGCTGTGACTACAGGCGCGTGCCACCATGCCCGGCTAATTTATCCATTTTTACTAGAGACGGGGTCTCGCTCTTGCTCAGGCTGGTCTTGAACTCTTGGCCTTAAGCGATCCTCCCGCCTCGGCCTCCCAGTATGCTAGGATTGATTACAGGCATGAGCCACCGCGCCCGGCCCTAACTTCAGAACATCTGTATCACCCTATCAAGAAACCCTGTCCCCATTAGCAGTCACTCTCCATTTCTCCCGCTCCCCAGCCCTGGCAGCCACCAGCCTGCTCCGAGCATTTCCTATAAGTGGGGTCACACGCTGTGCGGCCTTTTGTGTCTGGCTTCTCCCACTCAGCAGGTTTCAGAGCTTCCTGCCTTTTTATGGCTGAGTACTATTCCATTGTAGGGACACCTCATATTTTGTTTAACCCTCCACCAGTTAGTGTACCCTTGAAACACAAACGTTTCGAAATTTGATGAAGTCCAGTTTATCTACATGTCTTTTGTTGCTTTTGCCCCTGGTGTCATTGTCTAGCCAAAGGTCATAAAGATATATGTCTTTGTTTTGTTTTAGAGTTTTTGTTCTTTGTTTTGAGAGTCACCCTCCAACTTTGTTGCCAGGCTAGAGTGGTGTCGGCCTTCAGCTCACAGCAACTCGCAACAACTCCCTGGGCTCAAGCGATCCTCCTGCCTCAGCCTCCCGAGTAGCTGGGACTACAGGCATGTGCCACCATGCCCGGCTAATTTCTTTTCTATATATATTAGTTGGCCAATTAATTTCTTTCTATTTATAGTAGAGACGGCGTCTCGCTCTTGCTCAGGCTGGTCTGGAACTCCTGACCTCGAGTGATCCGCCCGCCTCGGCCTCCCTGTTTTAGAGTTTTTTGGTTTAAGCTCTTACATTTAGGTCTTTGGTCCAGTTTGTGGTTTTTTTGTTTTGTTTTGTTTTTGTATAAGGTAGGGCTCTGTATTAGTTTTCTAGTGCTGGTGTAACAAACTGCCACAGACTTAGTGGCTTAAAATCACACTAGTCTATTATCTTACAGTGATGGAATTTCAGAAGTCAGAAATTGATCTTAGGAGGCTAAGATCAGGGTGTCTTCAGGGATGGATCGTTATGGAGAATCGAGGGCAGCAGTCCCCAACCCAGGCCTGGTACCTGGCCGTGGCTTGTTAGGAACCAGGCTGCACATCACCGCCTGAGCCCGCCCCCCATCGCCCACCCCCATCGCCCACCCCATCCCGTCCCTGGAAGAACTGCCTTCCTCGAAGCTGGTCCCTGGTGCCAAGAAGGTTGGGGGCTGCTGCTCTAGGGGACAATCCATTTGGTCGCATTTTCCAGCTTCTAGAAGCCATCCACATTCCTTGGCACATGCCCCCTTCCTCCGTCTTCAAAGCCAGCAACAGCAGGTCGGGTCTTTCTTATCCTGCCGATTCCCTGGTTCCATGTCTTCTACTTCCCTCTTTCATTTATAAGGGCCCCACCAGACCATCTATTTTACTCACAGCCAATTAACAACCTAATTCCACTGGCCACCATAATTACCCTTTGCCAGGTATCCTAATATATTCACGGATTCGGGAGATTAGGGCATGGTCTTTGGGCCGGGGGCGGGGGCTGTTATCCTGCCTACCACGGTCCAATTTCATTCTTTTATATGTGGCTATCCCGTTGTCACAGCGGGACAATTCTTTTCCTTTGGAAATAGCCCTGGCTCTCTTGTCGAGTTAATCGTATATGTGTGGGTTTATTTCTGCATCCTCAGTTCTGATCATTGATCTAGGTGTCTGTCCTTATGTCAGTCCCACACTGTCCTGTTTACTATAGCTTTGTAGAAAGCTTGAAATCACAAACTGTGAGTCCTCCAATTTTGTTCTTTTTCAAGATCGTTTTGGTTATCTGGGGGCCACTTGCAATTCCTTATGAATTTTAGGACTAGCTTGTCAGTTTCCACAGAAAAGGTGGTTAGAATTTTGATAGGGATCATGTTGCATCTGTAGGCCAATTTGGGGAGTACTACCGTCTTAACGTCATGTTTTCCAATCCACAAACGTGGGATGTCTTACCATTCATTTAGATCATATATATTTTTTGCAACGTTTTATAGTTTTCGGTGTATAAGTCTTGCACCTCTGCTTACTTTACTCCTAAAAAGCACTTTCTCGTACATGACTCGCCCGTATGGTAATGGAATAATTTTCTTAATTTGCTTCTCATTTAAAGATGCACTACCTGTGCGACTCTCATTGCGCTTACTGCGAGCAAGCGACAAGAGAACAAAAATAGCAACTAGAAAATTATGATAAAAAGTGAGACGTCTTCAAAACGCGCCCTCCTGCAGGAAATCTTCCCGAAGCCCTATCCTGCCCGCACCATACCACGTCCCCTTCTCGCACTCTCTCTCGGGCCCTCCCTGACACCACGAGGTGGAGCGTTCCAGCTCCGCCTGCCCCAGCCCGGGCAAGGGCTCCAGCCCAGTAGGCAAAGAATCAATGGGTGGGGCAGGACCTGCTGCCCGGCGTGTCCTCGGCTTCACTTGCGAGCTCTGCGCATGTGCCTGCGCGGCGGCCGCCCACAGCGCAGAGGCGAGGCGGGCCTTCGCGCAGGCGCAGTAGCGGCCGTCGGGAGCGCTTCCGCCTCCCCCGCCGCCGCCGCCGCCGTCGCCATGGCCGCGCCGGCCCCGGGCCTCATCTCGGTCTTCTCGAGCCCGCAGGAGTTGGGCGCGTCGCTCGCGCAGCTGGTGGCTCAGCGGGCAGCGTGCTGCCTGGCGGGGGCCCGCGCCCGCTTCGCGCTCGGCCTGTCGGGCGGCAGCCTGGTCTCCATGCTCGCGCGCGAGCTGCCCGCCGCCGCCGCCCCCGCCGGGCCCGCCGGCCTCGCGCGCTGGACGCTGGGCTTCTGCGACGAGCGCCTCGTGCCCTTCGAGCACGCCGAGAGCACGTACGGCCTCTACCGGGTGAGAGCTACGGGGGCCGCCAGGGGTCAAACCGGGGCAGCCGGCACCCGACTACGGGGGCCGCCGGGGGTCAAGCCGGGGCAGCCGGCACCCGACTACGGGGGCCGCCGGGGGTCAAGCCGGGGCAGTCGGCACCCGACTACGGGGGCCGCCGGGGGTCAAGCCGCGGGGCCACGCCCACCTGCGGGCCACGCCCCAGGCCCGGAGGTCCCGCCGGGGCAACGCCGCTCTCCCCGTCCCCGCGGGACCCTTCAGCCCCTCGTCGTGCTCTGTCCGGGGGCCAGGCAGAGCGAGCCCGGAGGTCACCCCTCGAGCCCGGAGGTCACCCCGAGGGGCCGGAGGTCACCCCTCGAGCCCGGAGGTCACCCCGAGGGGCCCTGCGGCAGCCTCGCAGCGAGGGCAGGGCCGCGGGGAGCCTGGGCCTCAGTTTCCCCGTCTGGAACCTCGGTGGTCTCCCGGCAGCCTGCCGCTCTGATGGTCCCTGCAGAGTCAGGGGACTGTTCTCTCGTTTTACAGCCAAGGAAACTGAGGCTGGGAGGGGCCGGGGCCTGCCCCGAGGGGCCCCGACTGCACCTGAGTCAGCGCTCTCCGCGGCCCGGGGACGGGTGGCAGTTGGGCTTGGCCCGGAGCCCCCCTCCGGCCGCCGGAGCCCGGCGACGCCCTCGCCCGGGGATGCTGGGTGTGCCGCCTTTTCTCCGCGAGCAAGCCTGAGATGATGCCTTTCTTTTGCTTCCTCGGAGGAGGGAAGGGCAGCCGAGCGTTCTGCACGCGTCACCTCTGGAACCCCCCGCCACGGCCCGTGCAGGAGGCAGGGGCTGTCAGCACACCCATTTCTCAGATGGGGAAAGCCGAGGCCAGAAGGGGCGTGCTTCCCTGCCCAGGGCACCTAGCGACCAGAGCAGGGGAGAGAGAGCGGATCTGATCAGGGCAGCCCGAAACCGACAGCGCGGGGTAGGAGACGGAGGACACACGAGATCAGAGGCCAAGAGGCCGCAGGCGAGACCGGAGCCGTGCCAAGCAAGGAGCTCCTGGAGCCCCAGAGCTGGGCGAGGCGAGCGCGCCGCCTCGTGGCCTGCACAGCTTGGACCCACCTCCCCTCCGGGAACTGTAGAACCCAGCTCCGCGTCGGTTTTAAGCCGCCGAGCGGTGCCCTGGTTGAGGCCAGGGAGACGGCTGGGCTCCGTTGTCCTCCAAACCTGCGCCGCAGCTCCGCTGCGCGCCTCAATTGCCTCCAGCTGCCTGCCCAAACGCCTGCGCGTGGGCGGGTCTCAGTCGGTGCTAGCCCCCAGCGAGCCCGGAGGAGCCGCCAGCTCTCCCACGGGCCCCAACAATCGGGGACGCCCTCAAACACGTAGCAATTTCCCCCCTTTTACCGTTTTGCTAGAGTTTTGTCACTTGAGCAAGTACAGTTTTCCTAATTTAAAAAAAAAAAAAGGTTTATTTATTTAAGACAGAGTCTCGCTCTGTTGCCAGGCTGGAGTGAGTGCCGTGGCGTCAGCCTAGCTCAGCAACCTCAGCTCCTGGGCTCAAGCGACTCCTCCTGCCTCAGCCTCCCGAGTAGCTGGGCTACAGGCATGTGCCACCAGCGGCTCATTTTTCTATTTTTTATTTTTAGCTGTCCAGCTAATTTCTTTCTATGTTTAGTAGAGACGGGTCTCGCTCTTGCTCAGGCTGGTTTCGAACTCCTGACCTTGAGCGATCCTCCCGCCTCGCTCCAGAGTGCTGGATGACAGGCGGTGAGCCACCTGCCAGCAAAAAAAAAAAAAAAAAAACGGGTTTTAAGAAGCCATGCAAAGAAAGAAAACAAAAGCCCACTTTTTAAGGAGACTCTCTTGGGAGAACACACAGAATGCGGAGGGATGCAGCCCCCTGCTCCGGTCCGCTAGCCTGCCCTGGGCAGGAAGCACGCCCCTTCTGGCCTCGGCTTTCCCATCTGAGAAATGGGTGTCGACAGCCCCTGCCTCCTGCACGGCCGTGGCGGGGGTTTCCAGAGGTGACGCGTGCAGAACGCTCGGCTGCCCTTCCCCTCCTCCGAGGAAGCAAAAGAAAGGCATCGTCTCAGGCTTGCACGCGGAGAAAAGGCGGCACACCCAGCATCCCCGGCGAGGCGTCGCCGGCTCCGCGGCCGAGGCGGGCTCCGGGCCGAGCCACCTGCCACCCGTCCCGCGCCGCGGAGAGCGCTGACTCAGGTGCAGTCGGGCCCCTCGGGGCAGCCCCCGGCCCCGCCCAGCCTCACGTTTCCTTGTCTGTAAAACGAGAGAACGGTCCCCTGACTCTGCCCGGGACCATCAGAGCGGCAGGCCTCCCGGAGA